TCTCTCAGTCCAGCTGCTTGTGCTCTGTAAGACACTACACTTCTGCAGTATTAAACAGGGCTTTTTGACTGTGGATTGCAGGTTTGATTCCAGAGGGGGACAGTCTTGTACCCCAGAGTGAGGTACTTTGCTCAGATGGACTGTTCTGATCATGGTTATCGGTGGCTGTACTGTAGGGAGTGTTGACAATGGTGTACTCAATTCTCAAGAGTATTGTACCTTAATACACTGACATGTCTGTCTTGAACTGTCACCTGTACTGAGCTTTGTTACTCAATGATATAGACCAGGGTGCTGAAGTCTTTCCTATATAATACTTGAACACCCAATCCTGTGTACTGTACTCCCATCTGCACTGAGTGTTAATACTGGTAATCCTCACACTTGTATAAGTAACTCTCTCCTGTCCTGAGCTTTAATTCTCAATGACAGACCTGTGGACTGTGCTGTAATACTGAAACCAGCGTGCTCAACTTGTACTTAATCTAGTTCTCACACTGACACACAAGTGCTGAACTCACCTTTACTGTGCTTTCATACTCAAGTGTGGACTGTACTATCATACTTCAACCAGTGTGATACACCTGTGTGCTAAACTCTCACCTTGACTGTGCTCGAATACGGAAACTCTGCTCAGCTCCCACCTGGACTGGGCTAAAATAATTAAATCGCTGTGCTGATCCCTACCTTGTAAGTGAGCTTTAATATTCTGTGACACACCAGTATGCTTAACTTGAACCTGCAGTGTTCTTTAAATCTCAAATCTGTGTGCTACACTCTTACCTTGATTGAGTTTTAATACTCTGACACACCTGTGGGCTTTACTCTCTTGTTTTACATTTTTTTTCTCAGATCTGTGTGGTCAGTTCTGGACTAAAAAACTAAACCAGTGCTTTTTCCTGTGCTTTAATACTGATACCCGTGTGCTCATCTCTCACCTGGAGTGTACTCAACAGAATGGGTACTATTTTTCTGTGTTTTTAATACTGAGACCTGTGTTCTGAACTCTCCTCTCCACTGAGATGTAATGTGTTGTAATACTTAAACCTGTGAACGTAACTCTTACATGGACTGTGCTTTCGTACTTCAGTCTGTCATCAGGTCTCACCTGGACTGTACTGAAATACTTAAACCAGGGAGGTGAGCTTGTACTGAGCTTTAATATTCAGAGATATGTATGCTGAGCCTTCATCTGTAGTGAATTTCAATACTCAAATCTGTGTGCTACACTCTTACCTCTACTGAGTTATAATCAATGACACACCTGT